ACTCAGTTGGTCTAATAAAAGATATTACATCTACTCAAAGAATCTTGCCTGCCTATGCCCTTAGACCAAGATGGCTACAACCAAAAAAATTCAGCGATATAAAAGGAATTTGAAGAGCTCTACTTTTAAGAGGCTCTGAAATGAGCCAGTTGGAACCCATTGCTGTGTTGAACAGCAGTGGTCTCAGCTCAATGGCAGTGGAAGAACAGAGCAAGTAAAAACTACCACCAGAATTTAAACTGTGTAGAGATGTTGAGGGATACTGGGGAAGGCTCAATTAGCACTTTATATCTGCAAATACTGGGCCCCAGTATTCAAAGGTAGCTGTATTTCTTACAATACATTGTTCTGAAGTTGTTTTTATACTTATATACATACACACACACACACACACACACAATATATATATATAGTTTATATATAGTTTTCAGTCAATCAGAGGAAATTAACTATAAAACTGTATTACAGAAATTTGAAGAGTACTGAACTCCACAGAAAGAAGGAAAAGAAAGATTTTTAAACATAGAACAAAAGGAAATTGAATACACAGAATCAAGATTGTGACTGATCCACAGCTAAAGAGCGAATTTTGCAATTCTGGGAGTGCTCAGTCTCTGATAAGAGATCAGATCATGACTGAGACCTAGGAAAATACACTCATAGGCTGAGTACAGACATTCAGGAGGTTAAATCGGGTTCAAAAGGAGTGCCCAATTAAAATTTAGCTTGCCCCTGTGCCAATCTTACACTTACAGGCCCGGTCTCACTAACCACCAGTCAGTCTAAACCTGTAACTGAACAGAAATTCCATCCACACAAACGAGTCTAAAAACTGCAGAACCCGGTTCACAATAAATCTGGATCTATACAGTGTCAGACTCATTCAATTTAGGTCAAATCAGTGCAGAGAGCTTCTGTCTACTTCCCCTGCACAGCCCCGGGGCTGGGAAAGCCCAGCCACCGGCCCCAGCCCCAGGGCTGCTCTTTTCACTCCCTCCTCCCCCTGCACTGGTCTATTTTTTGCCCCCCTGGCTCCTTGCTTCCTGCCCCAGCCAGCACTTTCAATTCCCAACCCACAAGCTGCTTCAGGTGTAGCTGCTTTTATCAGAGTTCACTGCTGCCAAAACCAAGCAAGTCAGTCCCGGTGGGGGTAGGGGCACGAGTGATGAGGCTGTAAGTTTGCTGGGGGACACCCCACCCCACCCACAGGTCACACCTGCCCCCCCAACCCATGGGTTGCACCTGTAGCCCCACCACGGGTCTCACCTGCCCCCCTCACCCTACCTGTGTGTCATGTCTGCCCCCCCC